AATGAACAGACGGACCAAAAACCGTGTGAAAGGTGAACACAAGATAACAGAGAACGTAATGAGTCCAAGAGTGCCGATGTGTTTCGGTCTGTATCGTTTATAAAACCAAGTCTAGGTTTTCGACGCGTAGAAATACATCACTATGAAGCAAATCCTTTATGCTCATTAACCTCGATCAATGAGACTGATTAAGCTCACTCAGTTGTCTGCATAGTCTAAGCAAAACATTTACTGGGAAGCCTGATTGAATTTAGGTCACTGAGTTTCTCAAACTAAGGGTTTACTAATTTACACCAAAAGTCGTGAAATTGACGCTTCAGTAAATATGTAGTAATGAAGCTACGGTAATGATGCAAATTCAGCAAATTAGACACGCGAGTCAAATTAAGCACTCCATTTTTCGCGAAAACCATGCCTTGTGCTTCTGCTTTCTTGAAACTAACTTATATAGCTATTCTGCTCAGCGCTTCAATGAAATATCTGCGTCAGTTTCCCAATATGTATGTGTTAAAGAATCTCGCAAGATTTACTAGTTCAATTCCTCGATCTAAGGGCGAATTAAACAAAGCTTAACGTCTGAAAAGCATCGTCCATTTAGTCTAGTGAAAGGGCCAGTCAAATACAGATCGTGTGTTGGTTAGTTTCATGTGCTTAATTAGCCATTAGATTGAGTAGATGAAATAAACTTTTAACATCCTCTAACTATTGAGGAGCATGATCGTCATTATGGCATTTAAGCATGAAACTAAGCTAGGCAAATAACTCATTTTCGGTCTAGAGCCGGAATTTGCTTCCTCGAATTCAAATCAATGAAGGGTTCATGAACGAGAAATAAAAACAACTAAATTGCGATCCGTTTAAGAACGAGTTAACTAGTGTGACCCTTAACACAGAAAATAAGACAGAGGGCGTGTCCCAGTAGCTGTCCTTCACTATTTGCTTCCCAGCTCATAATCGATCTTTTGTAAGTATTCTTGGGGATTTTTTCTACCTTGATTGACACTCCTAGGGTCTCGGGGGTCGTGCTTATTGGGGTGCTTATTGGGACAAGTAGGCGGCTTTGAACATTAGGCAGGTCATAAATCCGTTCTCCGATATTGCTCACTGCAATCCCGTGCACCGCCCTGGCCAGGATTTCAAGATCCAACATGCCAAAACTCCATTTTTTTGCAGCCCAGGATTCCAAGATCCACAAATTCCAAAACTGTTCAGCACAGCAGTCCAAAATTCCAAAAGCTCACACGCGCACACGCGTTTCTGCTATAAAGCTACCTCCGAACCACCAAAATGGTGGATCCTTGGGGGGGGGTAGCATCTATATGTATGTATATATATATATACACATATTCAGATTTACTACTCCCCCGTGGATCCACCATTTTGGTGGTTCGGAGGTAGCTTTATAGAAGAGGGGGGGGTCCTGGCTAATCTCTACGTAACGCAGCCGGGTTGTGACCGAAAACAACAATAAAAAAATAGGTCTTTGGTGGCGGGGGGCGAAGCTATACTATGTGTAAGGGAAACCTTTACGTACTATTTGATCCCTCCCCCCTTGCTCATATAAACTCAAGTAGTACGAATTTAGGAATGTGGAAGTTTTGGCCGTTAGCCGAAGTCTTAAATTCCTAAACCCCTGATAATAGCAGCAAATTAGGAGTTTAAGATTTTGTAGGAATTTCTATAGATTCTAATTACCAGGTTGCCGATTGCGGTGTTGAAGAACTTTAGGAATTTCGGAACTTGGCCTTTAGTCGAAATCCTTAAACTCCTGTAGTAATACGAATTGAGAAGTTTAGGAATTGAGCCCTCAGCCGCAATTTCTACATTCCTGCCTTCCCAAATATTTGGCATTTAGGAATCTAGGAATCTAGGCCTCTGATCACATTTATGCATTTTCAAAATTCGCAAAGAAGTATACGGAATTTAGGAATTAGGCCTTCAGGCGAAAACTCGAAGTAGTTTTAATAGTTTTAACCGTTATAACCTAAGGAGCCCACACTAAAGCAACACCCCCTAAGGAGCCCAGACCAAAACAGCACGCTCCATTCTCAATAGTTTCGATACTTGAAACTGTGAAAACAGGGCCCCTATCAGGAACGGCTCCTTGCTAATAGTTTTACTTTTTTAAAACGGCCCCCAAACTATGCAGTGTTTTAAAACAGCAAAATTTTAAAACTGTTGAGACCATGAAAACTATTAAAGCTGTAGAAAAGGCAGCGCGGGGATCGCACCAGATTTTGTCCAATTCACGTTGTGTCCACAATCTGTTCCGATGTACCCGCTGCCTTTTTTGCAAACGGAGGCGCGTAGATCGCACCAGTTTTTTTCCCATCGTGTTTGCTCAGACAAACATGGACAAGATCTACCCGTCACATTTGTTGCATCCTGTAGAAAAAGCACGCTCCAGATTTTGTCCATGAGTTTTTTGAGTGAAATCACGAGAAAACAGGATGGCTAAAATCTGGTGCGATCTCCTCGCTGCCTCTGCAAACTGAGGCGCGTAGATCGCACTGGCAAAGTTGTTCCTACCCTCTTCCTTTCTGCGTGGTGTTTGCAGGGCGCCAAGGGGATCCCAGCAAATTTTGACCGGCAAAGTTGTTCCTACCGTCCTGTGTTTTGTGTGGCATGTGCAAGATTTTGCAGCTCAATTCGTTTGATAGACGCCGTCGTGCTTGTGAACTGCAAGCCATGTTGTTGGGAATTCTAAAAAGTTAAAAACTGCGACTTGCTTCCAATTCTGTTAAACGGTTTAGTTGAGTTACTTATCAGGACGGAGTGGGGAACTATTCTGCTTCAGAGTTTTTCTATAAGATATATGTTACATGTGTCGAAGATTCCGCACCGCGTCCGAATTCCCCACTGCTACTTACAGTCAATTCCTTGCACGTTGCAGTATTGGCTTAAGAATCGTGATCTCTGCTTTGGGTGTCCCGAACTGTGCACCCAAACCACGAACAAGTTCTGCAAGAAAGTCGCCGTCCGGGCAGAGGCCCTTCGAAACTCAGTCGAGTTCGCGAACTGCGTGCCAAAAGCAGTCGTGGAGTGCGTCACTCTGCAAATCTGATTACAGGAGCACGCCTTAAACAGCCATTGGCTCAAATTCGTGTCCGAATTCACAAAAAGGGAGGCGCATGACGGGGGGGACGGGGAGCATATAGACAGTTATATATATATATATACACATATATCTATCAGCAGGTAGTATCATAGGCCTTACGAAAGTTTGTGACAGGGGCACACTACCATAGCCGGTCATGTGTGCTTCAAGTCCTGCTTTTGTGTTAGGGTGGTTTTGCCAGGATCTTTGCGCAAATGCTCACTGCTGCCAGCCACCTTGACAAGAAAGTCAGAGACAGACCCGGTGACCCAGGAATCAAGGCTTTGAGTCTGACCCAGGTGTGGGAGGTGGATGTCCCCCGCAGGCGGGCGATGTACGAAGCAGAGAGAGAGTCCGTCCAGGATGATGTCCGCAGGATCGCGAACGCAAAGTTCGGAGGCCAAACTCCGGAGGTGAAAACAGAGCTTAGCCCACTGGCGGCGCAACTGCCTCTCGGGCTGGATGCAGGCTGCAACGAGACGCTGCTCCTGCATGGCACCCGGGCAGACCTTGTCCTTACCATCGCGATGACGGGTCTGAGTGAGCGACTTGCAGGCCAGGGGCGCAGTTCCATGCCGGTTTAGGGTTTAGGGTTTAGGGTTTAGGGTTGGAAAAGTGAGGTTTGTTCCATTTGCAGCCGCTATCCACAGTTACCCGTGTCCCTGCTGAACCAACCCTGCAGAGCATGAGGTTGTTTAATGTTGCATGATATTGCACGACTGCGGTTTGAAATGGAGTACTTATTTGGGGCTTGTGTGGCTTTCAAGTTCGAGGCAGCAATAGGCACTGTTTTCCATTTCTCCACCTCGATTGCGCCAATCCTGCCATAGGCGATGGCGCCGGAGTCTTGCTTGGCGAAGGCAGCTACCTTGCAGAGAACGCAGGCCCCTGGGGTGGAAGTTGCGCCCGCGGTATCAACCTTTCGTTGCTGTTTCTCCCTGGTGGTTTCGTCATTTGTTAGTCTTCATGTTTAGTGCGCCGTCAAGATTTCAGAACCAAACCGGTGCAGCCAAGCTAAACTCGGTGGGCGCCCGAACGTTGTTTTACTGAATGTTGCGTTTGTTGCGCTGCCTGCAACCCATCACGCTAAACTAGCACATCTTCAAAAAGTATCAAGAAAGCAGGAACCTTGAAATGCTCGGCGATTCATGCCTGACAGACAACTGTAACGATAAACTTACTGGAACATGCCAAGAGTTTGAAAATTCGTGTCATGGCTCGTGCCATGCTCGAAGAATGAAGTCCATGACACAATGGAATGTGTGAAGGCGAAACAAAAGCAATAACAGAGAACAGAGTACAACCAACACGGAATCCATCCAAGAATTCATTCCTGTGAGAATTAGTTCCTTCTCTTCGAGCTTGCTCCCTCGAGCAATTGTTGCAATACAAAGTTGGGGCCAGGTCGGTAAACTTGTTTCCCCATGCGTGCTTTCGGACCCAGTCGTTGTGTCAACAATGGCAGGAGGTTTAGGGCCCATCTTTAAGTTTTTCGTTCCAAAGGGCCAAGCAGCACGCGTGGGGTGAAGAACGTGCCTCTCCACAAAGAGTTAAGGTGCTCTGCGGCGTGTCCTGATTCGCGTGAGTCTGTTGTTGCTTTGGTGCATGGCTCATTGACATGGAAGAAGGGAACAATGAAAACGACAGATATCTTTGCAAGTAGCAACGGGTCGCAGGCAATCTTTGTCCACGGTCGGAGCTTGAAGCGTGTGGAAATTTAACATGTAGAGTTCTTCGGAAGCCCGGTCGTTGCAAAATGTAAAACATGTAAAACCCAAGCTGTTGCGAGATGTAAAGTGCACAATTTGACGCTGCTGTGGGCTGGACAGATTGGAGATTCTTGAATCTCACTTGACTGAACACGTAACTACGTACTTCGCTGTGCCAGGATGTAGTCATTGTCATGAACCACGGCATGCGTGCGTTGCGTCGGCCCTCAGGCAAGGCTGACCAGTACGCCAGGAAGCTCTCGAGTCCGTCCTGCGTGGATGCCAATGCCGGCAGGCGAGAAATTCGCTCGAGACTCTTCGTGAGTTGTGGCCTACGCGTCCCGGACAATCTGGACGATCTCTGCTTCATAATTGCTTGCCAGGTTGTGCTTGGCTTGCCGGTATTCACCAAAGATGGCCAGACCGCAAGCGGAAGTCCACCATGTCAAGTAGGGCTAGAACCCGGTGCCCGAATCTTCCACGGTGCTTCCCGAAGGGAGCTCGTGGAAGTTGAGGGTCTTCGGCCGCCTGTTCGATATCATTCTCTCGTTGCTCAGCGGGATCCCCCAGATGGCCTGCTCAAGCTCTTTCGAGAGTTTGTGATCTTCCATGGGACGGCCATCCTTCCCAAGTACATTCTTGCATATGAGCAGGTCACTTGAGTTATCCCTCTGGCTATGGCTATGCCAGCGGCTATGCCGTGGCCTGTGCAACACAGGAGGTGTGGAGGAGCCGTGCCGTTGCGGAGCTGGCGCGCTGAGTTGAAGCTTACCGCTCACCGTGAGTCACGGAGCGAATGGTGCTTGACCTCAAAAGCGATGCAAGAGTGGATAGTCAGTTTTGCTTGGTTCACAAAAGTGTTTATGCAACAGCCAGCTTATGTCACCGCATCCTTGCAGCCGCAACTCCCTGCGCCTCCGCCCATTCTTGGGAAGTGTCCACCTAGGGGCAGGCCTTTCGAGGTTCAACTTTTACCGCTTTTCGTGTGCTAGATGTGCACTGCTCTACAGCTCCATCCTGGGGCTCTGCAGGCGTCGTGCACCAGCACGCAGCATCACCCGTATATATCTTCTGGCGATTCCCTTTCAACTTAAGAGGCATTTACCGCTTGGCGTGTGCTAGATGTGGACACCTCCACAGCCCCATCCTGGGGCTCTGCAGGCGTCGTCCATCAGCACGCAACATCACATGTATATATCTTCTGGCAATGCCCTTGCAGCTTAAGAGGCATTTAACGCTTGGCGTGTGCTAGATGTGCACACCTCCACAGCCCCATCCTGGGGCTCTGCAGGCGTCGTGCACCAGCACGAACATCACCTGTAACTTCTGGCGCTTTCCTGTTGATGAAAGAAAAGAGCGCGTGGGAGTGTTTCACCTTTAGGTCTTTTGGTCTTTTGTAGGCATCTGTAGGCAGCTGTAGGCTATTAATGCTTCATGCTGCTTTTACTTGAGCAGTGTTGGGCCAAATAGCCGCAACACTGGCAGAGTCAAATGTTGTTGTATGCTGTTGCGCATTCAACTCGTGAACGAAGGCGTTCTGTCTGCGCTCAGGGCATCCACGGCATTCCGACGCTAAGGTTTGTGAGTGTTGTCGTGTGGAAGCCGGCAGCGACGCACCGTGAAACTTGTAAGTCTCATAAAGGCTCAATACTGAAGCGTAGGCCAAAGTACTGTTCAGATGCAGATGCCAAACATTGCGAGCACGAACCGACGAGCCAACGCATGCCACACTTTGTGAACTGACGTTGGTGAGACTTTCCCTGCCTTCGACAGCGGCTGACGCTGCAGACTACGCAGCACTTCGGACAGTGCAGCTGCACAAGGCATAGTGAATCTGTGGGGAGTTGCTGCTGGCTTGATCACTCAACATGACACATGCAATAAAGATTTAGTCTGTCACGGCCCCACGGTGTGCCCCTTTCCCCTGGCTCTTAACTCTCCATCACGCGCCAACCTCTCTGCGGACGGAGGTCCTGGCGCGCCGCCCAACACTCCCACTCGCTGATTCGGAGTCCAAGCGCCTTCCATGCCGTGCGGGCCTTTCACGGCAAAAAAGGGCTAGATGGTGTTCGGAAGCTGTGGGTTGTCAGATGTTTTCAGAGTGCACAGTCCATACTGGCTCAGTCATTTCCTAAGACTTTCCATGACATCATGGCAGTACCCTTTCATGTGACTCGTCGGGAGTGCTGGCAAGCAGAGCTAAGATGCACAAGCATGACGAGCCAGGGAGGGAGCTGGCATGGCTTTCCACCATTACTTCACAACACCTTTGTGCGCCGTGTCTTCAACATCGTGGTGTAAAGGTAGTGCGTTCAAACTTTGGTGGTGGAGCAGGATGCAGCCTGTAACATGGAGTCGTGTATCGGGTAATGGTCTTTGCAAATGTCTCGCTGCTGCTGTATACATGTTTTTGCTATAAGCCGCCTCAGTTGTCAGTGGACTGTTGCCGCCTTTATGGCTGCAAGTTTCTCTCGCGCTTTGACCGCCAGCTGTAAGCCTTGCAAGAGGATTTTGGCACCATGTGAGTCATGCGGAAAAAACAGACCTTGGAAGATGGGCTGAGTTGAGATGCCGCAATGCGAAACCTAAGCAGTGTGAGCGCGGCGCATGGCCCCTGACGTGTGAGACGCTGTGCACGGGATGCTCAAGCCTTTGCATCAAAACATTGAGCCTTACAGATGGACATGCCCCGATCTGTCCAGAAGCCACCCTTTCCTAAGTCCAATCTGCCCCTTTTAAACAGACCCAGGGCACTGGGCCCCGTGCACCTTTCGACGACCAAGAGTCTCCCTGACCGACCCGAATGCTCAACACATTCAAATGGGTAAGGCTGATAGGGATGCCAGGGTGGAAGGAGAGCAAAAAGGTTTGAACCGAACCACTTTGTGCAACTTAAATCCCAGGCTCAGTTGAGAGTGACCGCATTCAGCCGTCTAAAGTCCGGGGTTGTGGCCTAGGACGACCAATCACTTTCAAAAGTATGGAGGGCAGGAGAACGTCCAAGCCATTGACATACAAACGTATATGAATGCTGCTGGGCAGGAGCATGTCCTTGAAAAGCCAAGTTCTTTGAACAAGTGAGCAACATGCCTTAACCCCTGAAAGCGATGCAAGGCTGTCTTAGTGGCTGCAGCTGGCAGACCATCTTCCATACCCAACTGTCCTTGCGCGGAGAAAGTTGCGGCCTAAGTACTCGCAGTTGAATGATTGCGGTGAAACCTGGGTGGGCAGCTAGAGACTTCAAGGGTTAGACGGCGCAAGCATTTGAGTGAGGTTAGTTCGGACGTTGTGGCCTCAGATTGCAGCAGCTCCGAATTGCCGCACGCACGCAGCTTGTGCAGCAGCAGCTGTTGCTTGGAGTGTTTGAAGCTGCCTTGCATCTGTCAGCCTCGCGGCTTTCCCGCCCACCCGCAATGCAGTCAAGGCGCTCCGAACATCGGAGAGTGATGTCCCAAAGCGAAGCGCAACTTGCCTGCAGTTGGGCTGCTCAAGTGCAAGTGCACAATCAATCAGATCGTGCGACTCTTGCAGGGCAAGAGAGTAGTTATGTTGCAACAGCTACTTGACATGTGGTTTTTCGGCCTTGCATCAGCGCATGATGTGCTACGCTCCGCAGTTGCCAATCAGTTTATAGACCATACGAGCTGATAAGCAACGTGCAAAAGCCATGGCCGTTGTTTGCATTATCACTCGCAGTCTTCCATGCAAATTTAAACATGACATGCCTTCATTGTCCAGCTCCACAGAACGAAGCCAGTAACAAGACAACAGGATCTTATTTTTTGTCATTGAGGGGACATGTTTGTCTCGCCTATGGATGCTAAGAATGGTTTGAAAGGGGTCGGGCGCACATGTCCCTCTGGTATAGAGAAGTCTTTGGAGGTGATCTCTGAGAATGCTGTGCCAGAATCAGAGTGTTTTACCGATCGGTGGAAGAGAGCGTTTGCACCTGCGACTGCTTTTGATTTTGAGATTAACACAATATCCACATTTTTGCAGCTTTGCTTGTAATTTGGCAGCATTGCTTGTAAGCAGCTTCCTGAGGTTCTACGAGCGCAGCTTGCTGCACTTGCTTGGACAGGAGAAAGAGACTAGCAAGTTGATGGCATTGCGAGTGCTGGACTGCATTGGTGGTTGATGCCCTGAGTTCGCTGTGCGCCTTGAAGTTGCCATTGCACGCGTGGCTCAACAACAGCTGTAGCGTTGTTTGAAACCATTTAGTAGGAGCTTGGTCTAGGAACCGGCCATGGTCCTAAAGCATGCTGTCGTGGCATTGGCTTTTTCTTTCCTGCCACTAGCCGCTGCTTTTCGTGACCACAGTCATTTGCAGTCGGCTTTGGCTGTGAATCAGAGTCAGCCAAACTTGGGTCACGGCATTCAAGCAGTCTGCACGTATGCCGGCGGCAATTGCCAATTCCTGCCTGCATTTGATGTGGCAGCTTTCTTGACGGCAGAAGCACCGGCCGCTGCGAAAGGCGTCGGAATGCTTGCAAAACCCGCAGTGACTGCGGTCCAAGTGGCCACAAAAGTTGCTGGAGCCGGCAAGGTTGTACCTGGAGCAGCGGCAGCTGCGGATCTTGTGGCCAAGGGTGCAAAGGCTGCAGGAGTAGCTGGTGCTGTTGCCAAGGGCACGAAAACCCTGACGCTGGCATCCAAGGCCGGCTTGCTTGGCAAAGTGGTTGGTGGCGCGTTGTCGCTCAGCAACCCCTTAGGGGTGGCATGGACTGCCTTCCAAGTTGGCACCAGCGTGTACAATCTCTACGAGCTGCAGAAGGTTTTGAGAAATCCGCACCAGCTTTGCGAGGTTTTGTCCGATTGGGTACCCCCGTACGACCAGACCGCTTGTCTCAAGAACCTCGGACACATCAAGATTCCTCAGATGGACGCCCTGCCCTTTCCCAGTCCACCAGCCCAACTCGCAGTCGCCAAGATTGACAAGAGGGTGGCTTTGGCAGCAGCCGCCGTCTTGATGGCATCTTCAGGCTCAGCAAAGTTTCCAACCCCTAGGGTTTAGGGTTCAGGGTTTAGGGTTTAGGGTTTGGGGTTCAGGGTTTAGGGTTTAGGGTTTAGGGTTTAGGGTTTGAGGCTCCAGGTTTTCAGTTTGAAAGGTAAAGTAAACCGATTTCCCTGCAGGTGGCCTGGCACTTTGGCACCGCAGTCTGCACTCGGCGGCGTACGACCAGACTATTTGCCCAAGGGACATGTGGCTGGAGGATCCAACGCTGGCTGATTGGTACTCCGATGACGCTTCCAGCGCTGGTTCTTCCAGCACCAGCGGGTCCTTTGTGGACGAGGACGGGCAGGAAGAAGAAAGCTTGGTGTTTGTTATCCTCTTTGAACACCTTGTGACCCATCCTTAAACTCCTGCCGGTCTCACATCTCTCACACAGGAGGAGGATCTACTGGGCTTCCCAAGTGCGCCAATGCCAAGGTGTAATGGCCTGAGGCAGGGTCAGCACTTCGATTCCTCCAGCGTTGCCTCGTCCCGATAAGAACAAAACAGCAGAAAGTCCTGTTCCCAGTAGGTCCGGCAACGGGCAGCCCAGCAGCAAAGTCAGAAGAATCGGAAGAAGAAAAAAAGACATAGCTAGGGGCAGGGGGTCAGGTCTGGCGAGGGTACGGCAGCGAGGCTGGCCAGGCCCCCAATTGGGGAATTGGTGCTCGAACGTCAAGGAAGTAAAGATGTCTGGAAACCCAGGACAACATAAGGATGAGCTCAGCAAAATATCGAAAATCAGAAAAGCGCAGAAAGAAACGATCGTGCATGTGCCCGTTCGCAGCTTCTCCAGGTGGGTATCAGTGCCGACATCGTGCCAGGCAACTGATGTTACATGCCAGCACAGGAGCTGCCAGCAAGCTTGTTGTGATGACCGGAACTGCTCCCTTTACCAGTTTGACACTGCGACGCTCGGGAAATGCTGGCTCGGGCAATCATCCTTGTTCACAACACAGAGGTGTGAGCAGTGGGTGGGTAAACTTAAGGCCGATGGACACTTTCAAGAGGACCCGAGACTCTTCGTCCAAGTGATGGGCTTGAGGAAGCAACCGGCTGCCGCATTGGAGGATGCAAAGCTCAAAAGCTGTGGCATGCGGCAAATAAGCGACGACGCTTGTGCCGCGTTGGTTTGTGAGGACCTCTGCCAGGAGCAGTCAAGCTGCCAATTCTATCAGCTGCGTGTCGGTCGCCAGGAATGCTGGCTTGGTGCTGGTGAGCTTCCCGAGGAAGGCCAGGCACTGACCTGGCATGGCGGGTTGTTGGACGAGCAGAGCTCACAGAAAGGATGCCCTGATGGCTTCCTGTGCCCAGCAACCCAAACGTGCGTTGAAGACTGCACGGGCTGCAGTGGCTTCACACGGAGCGCAGACGGAAGATGCCGGCGGACGGCTGAGGAAGGCATTTGCGACCCAAGCGCCTGGCAAGACAAGTATGAAAGCACGGCCCTGAATGCCACCCAGTGCAAAGGCCTCACGCGCGTCGTGGTGAAGATGTCGGAAGAGACTGGGTTCAACGGCCACGCAATTTGTCAAGAAGCCTGTTGCTCGGATCCATCTTGTGTGCTCTACCAGGTTCGAAGCAGTGCTGCACAGCAGATGAAGCGGAAGCCTGGTGACACGGTACATTGCTGGTTGGGATTGGTGGATTCCTCCTTGAATCCTCTTTTCAAGTGCGGTGGTGGAGGCTGGGTGGGTGATCGAAGATCCTGGGAGGGTGGCTTTCTTTCTTCGCGCGGCTGCGCTCCGGGTGTTGGTGCTGCCTGCCTGCTCACCGGGGAGTGTGTCCAGAGCTGTGCTTCCCAATGCCCTGGGGCGGATTCCTTCGACCCAGGCAGCAACGCCTGCGTTGCGAATGGAGCCTTTGCCGAGAAGGAGGACATTCCGGTCCTGGCCAGCGACAGCTCATCCCAGTACTACATCTCCACAACAGACGAAGCAGCTGCCGACACATTGCTCATGGCAGCTTGATTCCAATCCAGACTATCTGCTGTTGCTATGCACTTAAGTCCTATCCTTTCCATACAGGGCTGCGATTTTTTCCTTCATGCATTTCAACAAGGCCAATGGCTTTTTCGATGTGGTAATTAATGGGGCGTGGTACTTATATACAAGCTTAGCAAGTGTGAGGTGACTCAAAACAAGCACCGCTTCATCGACGCGGTGTCAGACAAGGTGTGCGGGACTTTGTCCATAGGGGGCGAAGAATGCACGGCCTTCACTGAGGATGGCAGGACATCATGCCGTTGCACCTACACCACGGTTCAGACCTGCAGCACTTGGTTCAACGATGCCTTCCATCTACGACCTGTCATCTCAGAAGTTGGCATGCTTTTGCTGGCAGGTGAGGGCTGCGACTGCTTTGATGAGCCCGACAGTGCTGGCGTCTTCACTTGCCACTTTGAGCACTTGGAGGAGGTGCCAGACGTAAAGACGAGCCCTGGTGCTGAGACGGCCTTGAAGATCCTGTAGGGGCTGAAACATATGGGTGGCTGTCAAAATTATGGTCCCTTTTGGGGTACCCTAAATATTAGGTGCCGTATCATGATAGGGATCCGAAAAGGCACAATAATTTTGACCGCCTCCCATATCCGTGATGCCCTAGAGATAACCGCCGGTTGCTTTGCCGTGGCATAAAGAAAGTTTGCATTCTGCACCTGACATCTTGAAGATCGTCTCGAAGATCGTCTCGAATGTAGATGATGAGAAGCTAAGGCTTATCAGATATGGATGCTACAGCTAGAGATGATATGAAGACGAATAAGAATATCGATGGCAATGATGATATTTTCTTCATCAAGAAATGCACAAGCTCATGGGTTGCAAGGACGTGAGGTGAACATTTGCCCACCGAAGTTGAGAAAGAGGGACTGCGCTGGATCGCTAAACCAACTTAGCGATAGATCGGATGCATGGAGTCTACATCATGTTACATCCAACCAATATCCAACCATATCCAACCCCATGGTCTTCGGGGAGTGGAGACTGGCACACAGCAGTGACGATAGGCTAGCACGCTGCATGCGTTCCAGCACACGTGTGTCTGCTTGATGTTGCCTGCGGCTCAAGTCCGAGGTCGGTTGTGCGTGTAAGCTGGCTGATTCGCCGAATAGGCAGATCACATGCCACGATCACGCAGCCCGCGCGAGGACCGCAGGCGGGATCTCCCAGGGTCTGCTTCCAGAGAGTGTCGCGCAGAAGCGCCGAGGGGATGAGTGTGGCCAGAGCGGCGCTGCAGTTTGCTTGCGGTGGCCAAGGACGCGGCCGCAAAGACGGCCACGTTTGCCGCACAGCTACGCTGAGCAGCTGCCCTGGAAGCGATGTATATATAGGTGGAAAACTCCGAAACACGTAGGCCCTACTGTAGGCGAAAGGATGCAATCGACAGTTTTTGACAAAGCGCTTTCAACTACATGTCGGATACACTCCGGTCGGATGTTGCTTGCACAGTTGCTTAGAAGCTTTTTTCTCGTCCCATCCAGGCTGTGCCATGCCATTGGCCGGCCGCTGCCGCAGGCATCATATCTTTCAATGTGCCGAAGGGGTGGAAATGGGTGGAAAGCGGACGAGGGGCAAGCGTTGCGCTGACATCTTTGGAGCCAGGCAGCGCCGGCAAGACTTGTAGTTGAGATGGAGAGCCTGGCGCCCGGGCGAGTGAATCCACGAGCCACCTATTATTACTATCCGAGTTGCGACGCTGGGCAATGCTGCGCGATGCTGTGCGCGCGTTTGCTCTTGAATTTGGGGGTGAGGATGCCTGAGGCTTGGATTATCATGGACTCCTGCACGGGTCCGCAGATGTCCACACGTTTCATGCCAAACGACCCCAATATACAAGAAGCATTAGAAGCCAGCAGCTGCCGATATTGCCAGATGGTGAGAAGAAGATGTCAAGTCAAGAGCCAAGGTGAGGCGTCACCGAAAGCCCCACGTCACGCAAGGCAAGACTGTCCAAGCAGTTGCTTCCCGTTGTCATGCGCTGCTGGAGCTTTTGAGAATGTAAAATAGATCTTTGCCACACGGGTAGTCGCCTGGGACACTGTTCCTTCGGCTAGTCTGGACTCTGACGAAGAGACGATCCTGGCGGAGAGCCCTTCGCCCACACGAGCGCTTGCTTCGGGGCTTCGGGTTAGGGCGCGGCGTATGAGCTGAATTCAGTTAAATTGAGAGATTCTCATTTTTCTGCGAAGTTTGCAATTGTTCGTGACGTGGCGTATGGCGGGCGATTCAAAAGTCCGTGCTGCGCGGTTGAGGCGAGGACGACTTGGGCTTCGTCACGTTGGAGATCTCAATCCCACGAGCCAAGCTGGAAGACCCGCTGGGGGCTTAGACATGTAAGACATTGTGACATTGTGAGTTCTCGCAATGTCTGGGAGATTCAGTGTTTACTTTTTTGGGGCTTCCTCCTTCATTGGTTCACTTTCCACCGTCGAGGCACCGGAAGATGAGCTTTGACAGCAGCCAGAGCGAAGCGCAGGCTTCTGCCATCTTCTGCCATAGCTTCAGCACACAGTAGCACGCAGTATCTGTAGGCCCCCCAGGCCTTCCCGTAGAGCAGCTTTCAAGGCACTTGCAGGCCTATATAGGCTGGAGTGGAAGGTGGTACTGTATGGCTCGAGCAGTCGTGAGTTGTCCAGATGCCTTGTCCGTTAGAAGTCACAGGCCTCGCATGCCTCGTCGGTTCTTCCGTTTCAAGTTGGTGCACAGAGAGTCCCCCACACATGTCCCGACAGCGGCAGGCTTCGCAGTCAACGCTCGAGATCTCGCGTGAGGCCATGGCTCGATCTGTACCGGAGCGTACTTTCAGGTGACACCAGTCAGACAACACATGCTTGAGGTTTCCCAATAATTTATGCCTGTTCTGCTTCTAGTGCGAAAAGACCGTTCGACGACTTGCGGTCTGCCGCGTGAACCTGTAAATCAGGCCCCAACATAAAGTCAGACAGGCGATCAGCGTGGCCAAGCCACCAACGTCGCAGTTCCGAGTGGTGTGACGTGGCGCGACGCTAAAGGATCCGCAGGGAAGTGCTTGACGTGCGCGCGTTCGCGCAAGATCGCACAAGTGCACGTTCTCTCGCGCGTTCTCTCGCGCACGCTTGCGTCGGGGCCAGAGTTGGGCGTTGCAATCCTTCAAGCTGATTCAAGCTGGGAATGTTGCGGAGGAAGTGGGCTTGGCCATCGCTGTAGCCGAGAAGGGCTCACAGCAACCTGAGATCCCCTCCCTCTGGCATTTTTGCGCAGTTTGCGTGCAGAGCTTCGTTCATTTTCGCCTTGAACAGGATTTCCCTTCGGCGGATCTGCTTGGAGAGGCAGGGGGCGCCACATGCACCATGCCAAGTGTTCAAAGACGTACAGCAATGTGCAGCATACTAACGGCTTAAGCCTCAAGCCTCTCATTACGCCTTTCGACTCACAACAGACTTCTACTAAATGGGGCGCTGGGCTGGATTGAACGGTTCAAGACTTTCGATATTCCCGTGAGCTTCTCCTGGCGGTATGTTTGTAGAGGCTGCCTGCGCAGAGTTTGCCAGCTGCTTGAAGGAGGCGCCTTGGCCTGCGTAGGGGCATGGCAGTCTGTGGAATTATACACGCCTTGCTGCGCAGCTGCGCATGTTGTTTGACCACTTGAGCGATAGGGCTGCCGAGCCTGCCACAAAAGAGCTGAAAAGCACACCGAAGCATGCCGAAGCGGCGGCATCCACGAGCCAGGACAGCGCTGTCCTTCCATCCGCTGCGGAGCCGGGGCTTCAACCGGTCGTTGCCTCACGGATCCTCATCGCATGTTGCGTTGGATTGTGTTGCGTGAGAGGGCACCAGTTAGAGGGTTTGGGTGATGCCACGGGCAGCCTGTTTCAGGCTGAGTCTCAGATGTGGGGTTCAACTTGGGCAGTGTACAATCCTTAACCTCAACTCGACCGTCGCAAGCCCCATGAGGAAGGAACTTGGACCTTGATGCAGGGCATGCGCCTATTGCGGGTGCCAGAGACAAAGGATGACAAAGGTGCCAAGACATCCGCCCCTGTCCTCAGGCGAGTCCAAAGATTCACGATGACGATGGCTTTGGCACGGAGTTTGGGGTGAGCCCCCAGAAAGGAGAAGGCACGGGTTTCGGGTTAAGGGCACTGTGGACGTGCACATCATCGACGATCTCAGTATCTGGGTTGTCTCTCCTACGCTCTTACACCTGTACTGTATATCAGTATATAACTTTTTTACAGAGCTATACTAAACTTGCTGAACCTTGAAAGCAGCTAGGCAGGCGGCACCAAGACTTACGCCATGTTCTTTCCTCAACCTTGAAGGAAACTCCGCCTGCAAGATGATCGGGGAGGACACGGGGCAGTTCATGATGCCATGCGGCCCTTTTCGTTTTGGGCTCAAGGTTCACGATCTGTGTGGTGTTAAGGGTTGGAGTTGAAGCCAGTCAGGGTTTGTAGTAAAGCGGGTTTAGGTTTAAGCGATTCGGGTAGAGGGTTGTGAGATTTCGCAGAGGCTTCATGTTCTGACGCTACGCCCTCAATGTTCATTCGAACTCATAACTGTCGTGTCATGGCGTTACCCCCCCCCCCCCCCCCGCACAAAAGCTTTTTGCCGAAGGTGACGCACGCAAGGCTTGCCTCGAGTTCCCTCGCCTTGCATTGCGCACCGAAGGTTTCTCAACGACTGCACAAGAGGCTCCCACGCAGACCCGAAGCATATATTGTGTATAGATGTGAATGCATGTATAAATGTATATGTGTTGAGGTATATGCATATGTCTATATGCGCATACGTATCTCTGTATGCGTGTACACACACACCCCTCCCCAGCCCCACCACCATTTTTGCCATGCGGGAGCGTGACCCTACGCAACTCAGGGACACCTTCTTCCCAGCTAGGCAGAGGACAGGAGCTCCCCCGTCGACCCAGACCCCAACCTCTGAACTGGGCTGAGTGCTCCAGGACCCTGTCTCCAAACTGCGAGATGAGGACACACATGGCGACTGCGCCATGAACCTGGCTTGCGAGTCCAGCGACTTGGAGCTGGTTGAGTGCTTGCGCTCCCAGTGTTTTTCCTTATACGGGGATCGCCGCAGCACTAACGTTCAACCCGCAGGCAGGAACGCCAGTTCATAGATTCACGAGAACCAACCATAACCAACCCTCCACTCAAAAACCTCCAAGCCAGCTTGGCTCTCAGACTAAACCCACGAGCGGCCCACGACCAGCAAAGGTGAGTTCCCCTGCGAGGCGTCGATGAAAGTAGAAGCGCCAACCCAGGCGTGCAGTTGGGCAGGTATCGGGTTTCAGACTTTGGGGTTGCGTCCGGGTTTGCCGATGTTGCCGCAAGGTCCAGGCCAAAGACTTAGATGGAATAAGGTGCTCTTGTGCTTCAACTCTGGAATGCGCATTCCTGCCGTCAGGGCTAAAACCTGTTAAGCCCTTTGCCCTCAACCATCCCTCCCAAGCTGGCACTTATGTAGGCCGCTTTGGCCCGGTTGGAGAGATCTAATCCGGGTGTAGGCGCAGTTTTCACTTGCCTACAGTTGCATGTTACTAAGTATGTCTTCTTCCACTTTCAAGTCTTGAAACCTCACAGTTGTCGCTAAACGACAGCTGGGTAGTTCGGTGCAGAGAGCTGAATCCCAATTTAGAGACTTGAAACATGCCCTGCCTTGTCGTGCTTTATGTAGTCGTCCTCCTCGTGATGCTTTCGACTTTGCAAAGGTGGGCGAGGTTAGTGGCTGCTTCGGGGCCTGTGTGGCCTGGCTGCGCAAGTCACTCCGCAGACTTGCACGCGCCTCTTGGACTGAATTTTTGGGAGTAGAGGGGGAAAGCCCAGTCATTCTGCCAAGTCTGGTGAGCACCTTTCGATACGGATCTCAGAGTGGGCATTGTCTGACACAGATCCTCTTTTGCAGTTTTACCTTCTGACATCGTTTCCTACAGGCTGCAGGAAGCATAATGACAAACAACTAGCACGTGTCCTCGTCGCCCACCGCTAGACACACACCTCACACACACACACACACACACGCACACACCCGCACACACACACACACACACAGCCACACAGACAGACAGACAGACGGACGGACGGACGGACAGACAGACGCACACACACATACACACACACACACACACATACACACACACACACACGCGGACAGACACACAGAGAGACAGACACACAGACCCACGCACACACACACACACACACCTACACACACAACACACACACACACCCACAACACACATCTCACACACACACACACACACACACGCGGACAGACACACAGAGAGACAGACACACAGACCCACGCACACACACACACACACACCTACACACACAACACACACCCACAACACACATCTCACACACACACACAACACAACATACAAACACACAAACACACAAACACAAACACACGACACACACACACACACCTCACACACACACACACAACGCACACACACACACACACAACACACCCACAAACACACCTCACACACACACACACCCACACACACACACACAAAACACAACACACAAACACACAAACATACAAACACGCAAACACACACAAACACACACACACACACACACACACACACACACACACACACAACCACACACCACACACACACACACACGCACTC